GAGCCCCTAGTAGCGTCCTTGCTCCTAGTAGTAAGGCCAGGAGCCCCCAGTAGCGTCCTTGCTCGTAGCAGTAAGGCCAGGAGCCCCAAGTAGCGTCCTTGCTCCTAGTAGTAAGGCCAGGAGCCCCTAGTAGCGTCCTTGCTCTTAGTGGCGTTTGAGCCCTGTTTGTTTTTGCTGTTTTGCACAGGTGGAAAACCACGAGCTGAAGCGCGTGGAGGCACAACGAAGGCAGCAGCGCTTGGAGCAGCGGAAGGAAGAGTCCGAGCCCCAAGGACAGAGAGGAGGGGCTACGGTGGAGGTTGGGTAAATTGTGAAGCAAATTAACCGTAAACGTTTTTAAAGGAAATTGTATATAATACAATTTAAATAGACTGTGTAAATGAATACCGCTTGTTTGTAAACCGTTTGTAGGTATGGACGGAGGCGGAGGCTTGGATTCATCTATTTTTTCCCCGCCTGTCAGGTGAGGGCGGCTAGATTTTTATGTCAGCTGCCTCGCGTCCGGCCTCCTCCGCCTCCTCCTCCTCGCCTCCTCAACCGCAAGTGGTGGATGCCAGTGTTCTCTGCCGGACCTCAACCGCGAGTCAGAAGATATGCCACATAGAACGCCAGAAAAGATGTCAGAAGAGATGCCAGAAAGGATGTCGAAAGATAGGCCAGAAGGAATGTGGAAATAGTGATTCAATACATGCCGCAAATTTTGTCAGATTGAAATGTCATGGTTGGGATCACTCGAAGTGATGTATTTGTTCAATTGACTGTCTTTTTGTTAAGGCTTGGGTAGGCAGCTAAAACGGAGGTAGGCCAGCAAGTAAGTAAGTAAGACCTGCTGGCCGCTGTGAGTATATAAATTGTGATGCAGTACGATGCGATTTTTTGTTTATCAAATTGATTTGTTTTGTATGTAATTTCCGTCCAGACCACCATCATCGGTGCATTATGACACTTTTCTATGTTCTCATACACACTTCATCATAACTACCCAGGATAGCATGTATTCATTTCCCTTCAGCCTTGATTTGTGAAGTTTTGCTCCAGGTCGACAATCTCCCGAAATTCATTTGGAACTACTCCTGTGAACTCCCATACCTCAACGACGGCAAGATTCGTGCACTGAGCAATTCTGAAAGACTATTGGTTTTAAGGCTAGATCGCCATTTAGCGGCAGGGCAAGCATGTGTTCCTTTGTATCTATGAATCATTTATGTTTGGTCTGGTTTTCACGTGGGAATGAACCTAGTTTCAGAAAAACTACAAACTTGCATATGAGTGTAATCCCACCCTCAAACAAGAGAAGTGTTTTTGCGCCACTTGATATGCACACATATGCTTGGCTATGCATTCACATCACAAAACATCGAAAGTACTACAGCTGTACTTCGGTGATTTTTCTGCTCAATATGATTTTAGGTGCTGTGATCCACTGCCAACTGGCCAGGTTGGAACGCCGAAGAGCAGAGATTAAGAAAGAAGAAGCTATGGTCGTCGTGGAGGCCGAGACTGCTACCGCGCTGGTGGACCAACCCAGACGGACCGTCGTTGGCTCACCCTAAGCAAATGGAAACACTCGTAGCTTTTAAAAGGTGTTTTGTGTTGGATGCTGCTTTTTCTATGTTTTGTTGGGGATGTTTGGAATGGCAGGAATCCTTTGCTTGCTTCATTGTATGTTTGCCCACACTGCTGAAAAGCCACCTGGTGGTTTTGGTGTTGAATGGGTCCCCTAAGTGACCACATAGGCAGTCAACAGCAAGGGGTGAGTTCATTCTCCTTGTTCATTCTGCACATCGCAGTCGTGTGGTGTGTGAATTTCCTCCTTTGCCAGCTGGAGACGTTTCTTGTGTTTCTTTGGACTGCTGTTTTGAGAGTTTCCTTGAAACTGAAAAGCTTTCGGAACTGAAAGCCCGGCTTTTCCAAGTGTTTTTCCTCGCAAGGAGGAAGCTATCCAGATCCTGCACGCCGATCTCACACGCAAGGCACCGATTGTCGCGAGCGTCGCTTTCCAAAGGGCAGCTGGGGACGATAGAAAATCAGCATTTGGAGTTGGAGGCCATCGCTAGTAGTAACAAGGGCATCGCTATAGGAACAAGGACGCTACTAGTAGCTCCTGGCCTTACTACTAGTAGCGATGCACATCACCTGGTTCACACCTTGGTTCACATGGTGTGTGGCTCACATGGACTTCACTTTTTGCACTTCGTGGGAGATCGTAGGAGAAGTTATCGTCAAAGGGGAGCGGAGAAGAGCATTTCCCTCCACATAGGAGTTCAGCATGTAACATGAGCCCTGGAAAGCCTCGTCTTAGGACTGACCACTGAAGGGAGGTTAATGTGACAAGGTCCACCTTTCACCGCAAAACAACCTAGTAGCGTCCTTATTCCTAGTAGCGATGCCCTTTGTTCCTAGTAGCGAACATTGTTACTAGTAGTAATGCCCATGTGAACCAAGAACACTTTTGCCTGTGAGTTCTCCACCTGATCAAGGCAAAAGTGCACTCAGAGCGCCGGGGGTCTCGAGCCGAAGCTGGGACGTTTGGAAGCTCTGTTTTTTGCAGGCGAGAAGCAAAATGCATGGCTTGAATGGGTTACAAAGTGGGGGTTCACCCTCATTTGGTGAGCTAGCTAGCCACTTTTCAGTGAGGCCCCCTCACAGAGCCATAGTGAGGGATTTGTGGCTGGGTCAGGGCCACGTGTTGCATTCACAAAAAGCGGATTCACCTCAGGTTGACATCCATTCGAAGCTTCAAACGCCTTTTTTGGTCCGTACGCCTTTGTTGAATTGATCATGGGGAAAAGGATCATGGGGAAAACCACCATCAACTTTGCTACTGCTAGCTTCTTGCTACTAGTAGTACGGCCAGGAGCCCCTAACACTTCTTGTTACTGCAAGTGTTTGCAAGAGTGCCTTTCCAAAAATACCTTAGGACCGCTCGGTCCCCTTGATGTGAATAGCTGTGTGTCAGCAAGTCCGTATCCTTCTCCTAAGGGAAAGAGCTCTTGAGAAAGGAGAAGGAGGAGCTACTTGGAGAAATCAGACGGTGCTCCGCTGTGTTCTCCCCAGAGTCTAAAACGAAGAACTTTCCGGCTTTAGGAGATTGCGTTGGAAGCCCAACGAAGGTCTGTCCTCGTAAACATGCGAACCTCATTGGCAGGCTGCTGCATTGGGATGCGACTGCCATAGACAAACAACTCAGATTCCACAAGCCAACGTGGTTTAGTGGAAAGGGACCTCCGGTTCATGTGTGATTCCCTTTACCTCTTTATCTATGCACGTCCATACGGTTGTTTTCTACATCCAGTGGCCATACTTCACTCAATCAGTGACCCAGTCGCTCGAGGTTCCAACACCTCTCTGCGGAGATGCTCAAGAGGCAGAAGGCCCGTGAGCGCCCGGGCCCTGACTACAGGATTGCTGCAGTTGTGGTAGGTTGGAGGCCATCGCTATTAGGAAGAAAGAGCGAGAAAGAAAGGAAGGAAGAAAGAAAAAAGAAAGAAAGTCGCAGGTCATTTGCCTTCCTTGTTCGGGATGTTAGTTTCAGATCCGATGTGGGATTCGGACTGTTGAAGCAGCGTTTGCTTCTGTTCGAGTGGAAGAACTTCTGTTCCCAAAATGGAACCAAATCATTACGAGCGCTATCCTGCGTCGCTAGTAGCGTACTAGTAGCTACTAGCTACCTAGCTTCTACTAGCTACCATTTACGGCCTACCCTCCCCCCAGGCACTTGTTACTAGGAGCGAACCTTGTTACTACTAGTAAGGCCAGGAGCCCCTAGTAGCTTCTTGCTCCTAGTAGTAAGGCACTTGTTTCTAATAGCAAACATTGTTACTACTAGTAAGGCACTTAGTGTTACTAGTAGCTAAAAGGGTAGGGAATCTGGAGAGAAGAAAAGATCGAGCGAGCCTCCCTCGCTCAAACGCTGAGGCCGTGAGGAGGAATTGCGGAAGCTAATTAAGGAGAGCACTGAGCTTTCGGCGTTTTAGAGCAGTGGTGTCTCAGAGAATGTGATTGGAGAAGATCAGGATGTGGGTGAATTAGATTAGCGATGCCCTTTGTTCCGTTCGTAGCGTCTTTGCTCCTAGTAGTACGGCCAGGAGCCCCTAGTAGCGTCCTTGCTCCTAGTAGCGATGCCCTTTGTTCCTAGTAGCTTCTTGTTCCTACACCCCCCCGCACGCGCGCGCGAAAAGGTCCTAGTAGCCTTCTTTGCTACTAATATTAATTAGATTCTAATTACTTTTAATTCTAATTAAATTCTAGCTTCTTGTTTCTACTAGCTTCTTGTTACTACTAGTAAGGCACTTGTTACTAGTAGCGATGCCCTTTGTTACTAGTAACTTCTTTTTGTACATGTCACGCCCAGTGGCGAAACCAGGAGGTTGAAGATGCGGTGAGCCCACGCGAGACGCAAGGGGCCACAGCATTTCATTCGGATTTGAAATGCCAAGGGCCTCCAACCTAATAGCTTCTTTTTACTAGTAGTAAGGCCCTTGTTTCTAGTAGCGATGCCCTTGTTACTAGTAGCAAAAGGAACCTAATAGCGATGGCCTCCAACCGAATTGCTAGCGATGGCCTCCAAGCTGTTCGTAGTAAGAGGTAGGCACATTTATTCTCTCAATGGGGCATGCACGATCACCTTCCACATCGACAAGATCTCTCATGGGCGGCATCAAGAAATTTGCGGGGTACTGGTATATGACCCAAATCTGACCGCCAAATAGTACTTGTCAGTGTCCAGACACAGCTTCCTATCAAAGCCGAGTCCCGGCAGCTCAAGTTGCCGTGAATGTGATTTTCTACTGAGGAGTTTGTGCAGGTCACTCGTTGTGAAGGAAACTGCGTTTGAGCAGAGGCAACCTGTGAAGTTCTTTCTTTGTTTAGTGTCGTGATCCCTCAATAGAGTTTGGGGTGTCTTTGGAGGGAAAGTGTTTTTGTGATACATTCACGCCAAAAAGTCCCGGCTTAGGGCTTTTAGGAAACATTTAGAGAAAGTGCTTTGTTTTTTCAATTGTTTTCTCCTCCTTTGTTTCTTCTTTTTCTCCTTTCTTCCCAAACGCAAACCTCGAGGCTTCGTGCCTTTCGACGCCCGGAGACTTCCAGGCCTTCTTTGGGGGCAGAGTCTTTCTCGAATAGTGAAGGATTTGTGTTGTTTTCATGTTCAGTCCTTAGCAAGGAACTGAAAATGAAGATCCACACTGCTTTTCTTTACGAGAGGCAACTGATTTTGGGGTGCACTGCTTTGTTGGGACCTCTGGGTGTGTCGGCACAAGCCTCAGCCAAATGAAAGGAAATTCAAACGAAATGTCTCCATTCCATGCCCAGTCTTCATCCAGACCCTACCGCCGGAAAGCCATCAGACCGAATCCAAGTTTGATCCGGGAAGGTAATGCGCACAAGTGTTGCTCGCACCTGTGGCAGGCCACTTGCAAAGCAAGCCAAGCAAGCCAAGCAGGCCGCAGTGCCATTGTGATCAGTTGTGCTCTGTCGGTTCATCACTATGATCAGTGTCACCTAGACGTGAAGGTGTTGAGAAGTGCCTATTGGCAATAAAGTCATTGAAGCGGAGAAGTCGTTTGTTGGTTGGATGGATTGGTGCATGCTTGTTTCGGGTAGTTTGGCTTCATCGGGGGATTGTTGGAGATGTTTGCGTCGGTACTAAATCGCGGTAAGTCGGCTGCAGTCACAGAGTTTTGCACATGGCCACAGTGACTCTGCAAGGCAAAAGTTGTGCTCACATGCGAAATCTTCTCATCCAGGTAAGCTAGAGTCAAAAGTTATGTGTACATCAGTATGTCTAATTACATATTTTTTGCAACCAAAGGTTTGGACGAATAGGGGTGGCTGTGTTCTTGCGGCGACTCTTTTTCACTAGCTTCCGAATAAACATAGCAAGTGACATTTTGCCTCATGTCCAAGGCGAGTCTCCGGAACTGATCGCGGAAGTCATTGTCACTCTGCCTGAGGTGAGTCCAGAGGACAGGGTGGATAAGGTGAGGAAGGACAAAGCTCCTCGAGTGGAGTGGCAACGAGAAGAACGACAAGAGGAAGCCGATCTGCCGCCGGCAAAGCGACCCAAGGTGTGCCTTGCGGAGAGTGTGCCTGGCCCTATGGGGCCAACTATATAAGTGTAGCTAAGGGGCTAAGCTAGTCACTTTGGAGGACTTCATGCACTTCTTGATTGCGTGCGTTCTTCGGTGAAAGGCCAAACAGCCATATGTTCTTCAATAGTTCTTGAAGCAAGAAGCTACGAACGGGGCTCCTGGCATCGCTACTAGGAGCAAGGACGCTACGAACGGGGCTCCGTTCTTGAAGCGTTTTCCAGACCGGACAAGGACCGTTCCGGTGGGTTCGAAAACATTGAGACGACTCTTTTTTGTCGCCCCTCACCCTTACTTAGGACGCAGAATAGCTCGCGCTATTCATTTGGTTCCTAAAGTTTTAGGGGAAATAAAAGAAAAAAACTCAACAGTTCCTCCAGTGAGCTGGAGCTTTGAGGGCCCACAACATGGAGGATGAGCTGCAGTCTGCCTTGCAAGGCTTAAATGCAAAGTCCCCTACGCTTCGCCTGCTTCGCAAAGCTTTGTACTTGTGTTCTGTTCCCATTGCCAGGTGGCAGAAGCTTCCCAGCAGGATGACTCAGTGAAAACACATGTTGCACCCGTTGGCCAAGTGGGAATTGGGCAGATGTCCAAGACGTGGAAGCTACGAGCTCCTAATGGCACCACTGCAGTCTCCCCTTGCAAGTCCAGCAATCTCAACCACCTCTATGTCACACTTGAAAAGTTCGGTCAACGAACGCAAGAATGCAAAGAATTGCTTAAAGGGAGGATTCAGAGAAGATAAAGAGTTTTTCAGAGACATAACCTTTATTTGCCTGCTCTTTTGGGCAATAGTATAGGGACCTAGGGACCATTATTTATTGTCAGAAGACATACCTCGCAGGGCCTCACCTTTCGTCGCTGAGGCGGAAGAAGGCCCAGCTGGTCTCAGAGACCAAGGTTGGGCTGTGAGATTGGTGAGCTGTCGATTCCGAAAAAAAAATGACGAACTAGGAACAAGAAGCTACCAGGAACAGGTGCATCGCTTCTAGTAACAAGTGCCTTACTAGTAGTAACAACAAGCTGCTAGGGCTCCTGGCCTTACTACTAGGAGCAATGTTCGCTATTAGAAACAAGTGCCTTACTACTAGTAACAAAGAAGCTCCTAGTAACAAGTGCATCGCTACGAACGTAACAAAGGGCATTACTCCGTTTTTGGCCCGGGGGGCAGGCCGCTAGTAGCTAGGTAGCTAGTAGCTACAAGTGGACGCTCCCACGGACGCAGGAGAGCTCAGGCTTCTTCAAGTTTGCGATGAAACTACGTACCTCTTTTTGGGGGGGGGAACTTAAGCTGTGCAGAGGTCAGTTTGCTATGCAGTTCTAATAGCGATGGCCTCCAACTAAGAAGAAACGAAAGCTTGCTTGGATTTGGTGGACGGGGCTTTGCAGAATGACCTCATGCAAGTGTGGACAAAGGCGGATTCAATTCCCCCACAAATAGGCCTGTGAGATGTGTTTTGCTGAGGAGGCCCATGGGTTTGTTACCTCATGCAGACCATCAAACACCAGAAATGAACAAATCGTTGTGTTTGTGTTCAACAACTTCCGACAAAGCATCAGTGACCAGTGACGGTGAACAGTGAACAACCCGCCCGGTTTGAAGAGAAAGCGGCGATTGTAAGAAGAATCCCATCTTGCCCGCCTTGGGTCTTTCAAGGTGTTTTTCATGTTGATCTTTTCTTTTTTAAGGCCGTTCTCTGATGTGTTCTTTTCTCTTTGTTCTCACCAAGAATGCGTTCTCACCGTCGTTATGGTTCAGCTTCTGTGACATCACCGGGCGGAGGCCGCAGCCCCAGCTGTGGAAATCTCAGAGCCGCAGGAGGTCCCGGTGGAAGGCCGGAGGAAGTCGTTTGGTGGATCTGGTAGGGCGGAGGCCATTGCTCTTAGGGGAGGCCATTCCTACTCGGTTCCTTTTGCTACGAACGTAACAAGAAGCTAGTAGTAACAAGTGCATCGCTTCTAGTAACAAGTGCCTTACTAGTAGTAACAAGGACGCTACTAGTAACAAGAAGCTACTAGGTTGGAGACCGTCTCAAGTCTCCTGAGTCAAAAGTAGCACTGGAAGAGGGGTGACTGCAGACGCTAACAGAAGTGATACAAAGTCATGTGACTATTTTTCAAATATGAGATGCTACCACTCGCAAGAGTAGAAATCTACAAGAACGAGGTGAAAACTTCTGAAGGTTACTTGCCGGTTTTTGGCTCTCAGTATGGGAGACGTCTCCTGCATTCGATTGAGCTACGTCTTCTCTTTGGAAGTTTGCATTGGGTGTCAGGGGTGTGTAGGCCTTGGACAGTCCACCGGCTCTGAGACTAAGTCGTGCTAGGGGGTTGGCTTGCGACCCTGTCCAAGCATGTCCTTTTTGACAAAGCACGTCTAATCGTTTGATAAAGACGAAGTCTTACGTTTTTCTTTTTACTTATTCTTGTCTTTTGCTGACGCCTTTTTGCAAGAACGTTTCAAAAAGACTTGGCACCGGCAGGGGAGGAGCCGCGAACAGACTACGACTATGAGCCACTGGATGAAGAGGGGAGAGACTGGTGACGGTTTGCAAAATGGCGAGAAAGGGCGCTGGCAAAGCCCATGTTGAACATGTTTCTTGAGATCCTTGCAGAAGGGCGTCCAGGGATTTAAATTGCTTAGCCACCTTTGCAGATCGTTGTGCGGCATCAACATGGTTTGCCGAGTCAGCCATGAGACTGGGTGGATAGTGGGAATAGGAAGTAGGTATCAGACCAGAATGCAGAATTTTTGGAAGGGAAGCTGAGGCCTAAGGAGGCAAGAAACAATCGGAGGCTTTTCACTCCTTCAGCTTCCCTTGTTTGCCAACAACAAATGCTAGTAGTAACAAGTGCATCGCTACTAGTAACAAGTGCCTTACTAGTAGTAACAAGAAGCTATTAGAAACAAGTCGCTACTAGTAACAATCCTCTACCGGTGGACCAACTCCTCCGTTAAACACTGGTCACGCGACACTGACTCTGATCGTTCGCTCTCATCGAGGCTGGAGGAAGCGGAAGAGGCCTATTTCGAAGGCCCACTCCGGGGAATAGTAGCTTCTTGCTCCTAGTAGCGAACCTTGTTACTACTAGTAAGGCACCTGTTACTACTAGCGTGGCACTTGTTACTAGTAGCTTCTTGCTCCTAGTAGTAAGGCACTTGTTCCTAGTAGCGATGCCCTTTGCTCCTAGTAGCGATGCCAGGAATCCGGTTTCAAGAGGCAGTCTTCCATGTCAGAGGATCGAGAACTGGATGGGTTGGCGGTGTGACCTCACAAATGGCCGCTTCGTTTGAGTCGGAGTTCTTGGTGAGACCTGGCGGAGCCAAGAACCAATCATTGATTGGCCAAGAGCCAGTATGCTAACAACTAAGGAGTAGCTACTCGCAATGACCTCCAACCTAGCCTACGACTGAATCTGGAAAGACCAGTCTCTCTGCCAGGCGAAGAAGAGGCAGATTTCGTGGAAGACGTCGAGGAGGACGGTGAAGCTTTGCATTTTGTTGCGGAGTTTCTGGTCAGAGTGTATCGACGATAGAATCAAGAGGCAAAAGAAAGGAAGAATTAGTAAGAGTTTGAAGAATCCAAAGAGACAAAGAAAAACGACGAAGTACAGAACTTCTGTTGTTTGGCTAACTCTGGATCCGTGGATCGTCCACCGCGCCCACGACCCGAGTCCAAATCCAAGGAGGCTGAGCAGGCGCCGGACGAGGAGCAACCCGAAGAGCCCGAGGAGCAACCCGAAGAACAACCCGAGGAGCAACCTGAGGAGCAACCTGAGGAGCCCGAGGAGTTTGAGGAGAACGCAGAAAGAAGTTCTGTGCAGCCGGAAGTGGAGAACGAGCCACAGGCTTTCGACTTTGCGGCGCGCAAAGCAGTTGTGTCGTGGAGTGTCATTGGGTTTTCTTCACTTTTCTTTGGGACTGTGGATGGGTGGGTTGGAATGTGAGTCTAATTTTGCAGATTGGAAGAGACGTGTTTTTCTTGTTCACATATTTGCTTCTTTTCAGGCAAGTGGTATTTCTTGGTGGGCGTACGTTTGGTTGTGTTTTGATTTGAGTTTCACATGGACGAAACAGTCTCCTAGGCCTTCGGAAAGTTGTTAGTACTCCTGAGCATTTCATACCCTGAGAGTTTTGCCGGTCGAGGGGTTCGATACCAAACACGATGATTTTTGCATATGAAATGGGACTGACCCGCTAGTCACTAATATGAAAACACTTAACAACTTGTTTTTCGAAAACCACTTGCGGATCTTCATCTTCTCCCTTCGAGAAGCGCCTTCATCCAGATTCTGTCAGAGATATGCCAAAAGACGGTCTAGATTATTCTTGACATTCTTTGGCTTTGTTTTGTTTGAGGTAGTTAAGTCCAAAAGCTAAGGCGAGCACGGAAGGGTTGAAGTCGGGTGAAGATGTCACCAGATCTCAGTTTCAGGCCGAGCCGGTCCAGGCTGAGCCGGTCCAGACAGGACCTGCCGAGGAGCCAAAGGGAAAGCTGGAAAGAGAATAAAAAGAAAAATGAAAATACTTCTTGCGATGGCCTCCAACCCACTAGGGATGACCTCCAACCTAATAGCGATAGAAAGTAAGAAGGAAAAAGCAAAGAAAATACTTCTATCGCTTCAGGATATAATAAATCTGATGTTGCATTTTTGGTGGGATGGGTGAAAGTCAGAACATGAAGGCAGAGGATCATACAATATATTCCCCAAATAGGGTACTGTTGGCTTTCGAATTGCATCCTTGTTGCTAGTAGCGAACATTGTTCCTAGTAGTAAGGCCAGGAGCCACTAGTAGCGTCCTTGCTCCTAGTAGCGATGCCAGGAGACCCTAGTAGCATTCTTGTTGCTTCCTTGTTTCCCCTCTTGCCTCACAATCGGTGAGCGCGTGCTGCCCTGGCGCCGGGTATCTCTCAAAAAACACATGTCGCGTGAGACACCCCCGAATAGAATCGGCTGAGGCCCCAGGCGCCACCGACCCATTGGACCAAGCTCCCCTCCCCACGCCCTTAGCTCAAAAGCTCGTGGTAAGGAGTTTCCAAACGGCAGTTTCCAAACCGGTATGAAAGCCACAGAAAGAGGGGAAGCTGCCTAGGGACAGACGCGTGGACGCTGCCCAGAGAAAATGTTCCGCGCGCAAGAAGAGGCCAGAAAGTGTGCCCAAAGGCCAGTTTCGAAGGATATGCACAAAGGTACCCAGATGTGGAAACCAGTCGAAAAAGGGCAGGTAAGAGAGTGATGTGCCATGGGCCAAAGCCGGAGATATGTTAATTATAGCTTCTATGACCATCCCTTCGAGGCAGTTAGTGCACCAAAAACTTGCCCAGGAGCCTGAGCCAGACCCTTTGTTCCAGGCGCCACAGCCATCCCGCAGCCAGAAGCCAACCTGCATAGTTTGAATGAAACTGCTGGTTGCAG